TTTTAAATAACTTTGATCGCTTAAGATATAAATAACTATAGATGCGGCTTGCGCTATAGAAAATTAGTAACCGAGATAATCCAAAACTTTATCTGATCTTCAAATAAATAGAGGAATGATTTGTTGGTATTTTTACATACCAAATAAATATCCTAAATTTCTTTGTTTGAATAATTGAATCCATTATTAAGTAATATTCTCAACTTTTGAGATGATATATTATTTGTAATGTTGTGTTCGATTATTTAAACAAAGAAATATTCAAGATTTGTTTGAACTTATATTTTTAAATTCAAAACCTTTCTTTTCAACTAAAAAATAAAGTCAACAACTGGGTTTGACCTCACGATTTTTTCCCTTTTCATTATTTTATTTTTGTTCTTTTTCTCTCTTTTATTTTTGAAGAAGTCGTCGCCTTGTCTATTTATAATATTTGCATCATTCGCTTAATCAAGTAAATCTCCCTCTTGAGTAAAATGAATGGTCCAAAGAGGAGAGGACCCTAAAGTGGGGATATACAACTAGCAATAGACAAGTGAGAGAAGAAACGTGGAGAACTTCTTAAATCAAGCTTTGTGTTGGTAGCCCAAAAGCAGACGTCTAAAACGAGATCAAATAAAAATTACCTTAGAGACATATTCATGAAGAGGACCTTATGAAAACAACCCTCTCAAAGGAACGTACTCCCTTGGTTAATTACATCTTGGAGGATATCTGAGAAAAATCTCGACAAAAAGAGGCTTGCTTACATAATTTAATGAAATCTAGTTATTTGGAAAACTAATGGATTTAAATCATCTCAAGGAAAAATTATGATGCTTTCGATATATATACCCGGTCATGGGGCAGAGGGTGAATCATCGTAAACACTACGGGAGGCGAAGCCTAGGCATGCGAGGCCCACAACATGATATCAACAATTTGTAACAGGAATCAATAGGGCTCGGAAGTGATGTCAATAGAAATGGAAATATCCCCTAGAAGGTAGAGGTAGCCGGGTCAAGATACCACGAATTCGTCATCCCAAGTTATGTTTATCTTAAGTCTACTTGAAAGTGATGTCAATAGAAATGGAAAGATCCCCTAGAAGGTAGAGGTAGCGGGGTCAAGATACCACGAATCCGTCATCCCAAGTTATGTTTATCTTAAGTCTACTTGGTTGTGAAGGTTGTTGACCCAACACAACTGGAGGCTCCTTATCAGCAATCCATGAATTGTGTCATCCAAGGGTCTCTTAGTAGCCCTAAATTCAAAGGAAAGAAACTCTAGTTCCTATGACCCTAAACTGGTGGAGCTCAAAGAGATGGGGCTTATGCTTGCCAAGAAAAATGTTAGAGCTACCGATAGAAAGAAGGAAAAAGGAGGTTCAACTATAAAGCTAGAAATGCTCTACACAAAGGATTTACACCTCTTCTAGGTCAAGGATGTCTTTAACACCCTCTCCGTACTAGACAAACTCCTAAGTAAAAATTTATGCTTGGTCAAGTCAGGTATAGAGAAGCACAAGGACTGCTTCTCGGGTGTATGCATATAATGGAGTTGTCTATCATAATTATATGGCATCAAGACCCTATTAATTATGACGGGGGGATTTGTCAATGCTTGCAGTTCATTTTAAAATCGACCCGAAGGCTGTGCAGAAAAGTAAAGTGCAGGTTTTAAAAAATCTAGAATATTTTAACCCTACATTTTAATTAATCTTAATCTTTTATTATTTAGATTTTATTTAAAGTTGAGAATTTTAGAGTCTTTAATGAGTCAAGATTATTTTTTGTGACAGTTATCCCAAGCAAACAACAGTCAAATAAGAAAGCATGAGAGTAGAAGCAGTCTAAAAAAAAATTATGACAAATCAAGCAAAATATAAGAACAGGCAGGTGTTACTGGACCTTCAACATCTCTCAGGAAAGCAGTAAAGGTGACCACATTCCACATATAAATGCCAGATTTTAATTCTATACAGGTGTATAAATTTGGAATTAAGGTACGAGACACGAGCTGATGCTTTTAGTATCTGTCACATAGATTTACATGTCACTCGTCTCAGAACCCGTGTCCGTACCTTTTTCCTGATACAAACTCAATCCTATGACTCTATCAAATACAAAATAAAAGAAAAATAAAGGACTCGGGCTGTAGAAAATGTTAGCATGGGTTATCTCATGCAATGCATATGAGTCATGCTTGGTAGGAGGAGCTTATAGTAGCACCCACAAGAAAGAGTTAGTATGAAATCATGGCAGTGCTCCAACCTTATTAAACTTGTGTGTGTGTGTATTTAGGCATGAATCCCTCTAAGAAAATTGCCCATAATATACTATTGTGCATGTCCACACTCGACAAAGTCACAAATGCACAAGCAAAGTGATGTTTGACTAGGAAAACCAATCCAGCAAAAAATGATAGTCAGTCATTGAAAAAAACTACATAGCAACCTAATCTTTTTCTAGCACACAATCTATCTAAAATTATCCTAACTAGCATCCAAGTATAGTCAAGTCTCTTGGTATCGTACGATTTTGACAGAGTCACTACACCGGCCCCTTTCTGAAGATCTAAGAGATCTAAAGAATCTCACCCAAGATGGATTTTGGAAAAAAGTTGGCCTTATATGTGACATAGTTGTTATTTGCATAATTTTGAAAAGTATGATAGATATCATAAGTAGAAAAATAATTTTTTTTCTATATTTAAAAATAGAGCAATTAAATGCAGAACCGTTACATACAAGGTGTCACAAGTTAGATCCATTGGATTCTTAGCAGATTCATACTCATGTTGTTCTCGATGAAATAACTTGCATTGCTTATCGGAATCTAACCGAAAAACAGTGCTTGTTAACGCATCGTGGTCAACACGGTGTCACTCACATAACGAGTATGGTTTGCTATCAAAACACACATGGGGATGCAATTACAAGCATATGACATACAAGATCATCAATCATGCAAATGATGAACTCAAATTTAGATATGTCGCACACTCAGTGGGTTCAGAGGCTCTAAGGCATAACCCTGATTGAGTATACAAAATGAAAGGGTGTGATGTTCAAGTGTGAAGCCACAAGATATGTGGCAGCATGTCCTCTGTATAGGAAATTCACGCATAACTGGCTAGCATTGCTAGCCACCATCAACCACAAAATGTGAATATCAGACATCACACGCATAGCGGTATAAACGTCCGGTGATACCGCAAGTGTCGGTGCTCATTGAGGCACCAAATATAGGCACATGCCCAAGGGGAAAAGATTTAAATTTTCATCATGCAAATGAGTTTATCATATAACATAACATTCAAAAAAGAGCTTATTTGTATATACATTTTAAAAACCTCTTATCTCTCTATTGATGATAAAACAAAAACCTCTTATCTCTCTATTGACCTATTGATGATAACTTATAAATGAACTCGAGCAATGCAAGTTTTACTGTAATAAAAGAATGTATAACAAAAACTCGCCTTAAAGAAAATGGCTATTAACACTGTCAAAGACTTCCTTGAAAGCTAGTTCATAGAAATAACTTTATGCCCTTCCGCGGTGATATTATCACTGCTCGATGATTCGTTTAGTTAGGATAAAAAAAGAGAAAACGATAGTGGCAGCTTAAGATACAAACAATTAGAGACAGATTAAAGGGTGGCGATAATTTTTTTACAAGGCCAATAAACATAACAAAATATATATCACAAAAAATTTTAATTCCTTATAAAAATAAAAATATTATTAAAATTTTAAAATTTTAATTTAATTTTTTATACATAAATTTATAACACAAATACTTTACAACTTTATATATATATAAAGCTTAAATGTGATATGTATATGAAATTTTCTTTTAAAAAATATAATTATTATTATTTTAAATTTCACTTTAAGCAAATTAATAAATTTATGATTTTAAGTTACTTATAAATAAAGTTGTTCGCGATCCAATTTCGAATCAAGTTGGGGTTGACTCGAATCAATTTACTGCGGCTCAAAATCGGCTCATGAGTCATTATATTTGATTTTGATTTGAGCCGGCTCAAAATTAAATTGAGCACGATCCGTCTCAAAATTAAATAGAGCATTATCTGGCTCGAAATCCAAATAAGTTGGCTCAAATTGAGTTGTTTGTATCAGTTTCAACTCAAAATCAGCTTGTTCCAACTCAAATTTGAAACTAACCTGCTCAAATGAGCTATTTGGATCCATTCCAGCTTAAAATCAACTCGAAATTGGCTTGTGACTTGTTACATTTAATTTTTCTTAGCAATATATATATAATTTTTATAGATAAAAAATATCATGAGCTCAATCAATTCGAGCCCATCCATTTATGACTCAAATCAGCCTATTCAAATTTTTAGCTCATAACTGGGCTCATTTATTTCGATCCAATCTTGATCCAAGTCAAAAATTCAAACCGATTTTCGAGCAATTAACAATCTTTGATCTAAATTCACAACCATAAAATTAAAAAATAATTACATATATAGCATCTGAAATATTTATATATACAAATTAATTACCTACTGATTTTTTTGTACTAATAAATGCATAATAAAAAAAAAATATGAGTTAGGTCTTCTCATGAATTTCAATATTTGAGAGAGAATTTGAAAAATGGATAAAATTGTAAATAGCACGTCTCCAGTGGTCTGTCGTCATCTATACGGACATCACATGCAGAAATGCGATGTCTAATTTACACCGCTCATCACACTATCAATTAAATTAAAAAAAAAAAAAAAAAAAAAAAAAAAAACCCAACAAAATAAAATTTTTTTAAAAAAAAAAAGAAAATAGAGCCCGCTGAAATACAACTTTTACTGTGATTAATGATCCAAATCGGCCACATACATCTCCATATAATTTTTACCATCTCACGAGACGTAATTGCCCTAATTCATCGCCCAAAGACATCTTTTCTAACGGTCATTGGAGCATGCTGCCGGGGTAACCGGCAGACTGCCAACACAGAAAAACAATATTAAGCAAACACTATACGGCATATTGGAAATATCGCATGCCAGAAACTTGGCAACAAGCTAACGAAATTTGCAATATTTAATCAACTATTGATCATTTATGCATTTCATCAAACACCATATCGGCACTCCTACATGGAGAAGCGGAGATGATATCATATAAGCAACAATCAAACTATAACAAGCACCCATCATTCTTCATCAAGAAAAAGGAGAAGTAAATAATTTAATACATAACAAGACCTTCGGTCAGGCTTCAGAAATCTTCATCTAGTATAAACACATGGTTTCCGCCATTACCATTTATGCTCGACATCACGGACGCCTTCTGATACTCCCCAACCCTCTTCTCAAAGAAATTAGTCTTACCCTGCAGCGAGATGAGTTCCATCCAATCAAATGGATTCGATACACCATACATCTTGTCATAGCCCAGAGCTCCAACAAGCCGATCTGCCACGAATTCAATATAGCGGCTCATTAGATCTGCGTTCATCCCCACAAGAGCGCAGGGGAGTGCATCACAAACAAATTCCTTTTCAATATCTACAGCATCGGCAACAATCTCCCGAACCCTCTCCTCCGAAATCTTGTTGATCAGAAGGCTATACAGAAGGCAAGCAAAGTCGCAGTGGAGTCCCTCGTCACGAGAGATGAGCTCGTTAGAAAAAGTGAGACCTGGCATCAAACCGCGCTTCTTGAGCCAGAAGATGGCGCAGAAGCTGCCGGAGAAGAAAATACCTTCGACGCACGCAAAAGCGAGAATCCGCTCAGCAAATGATTCAGAGGCGTCAATCCAGCGCAGTGCCCACTGAGCCTTACGGGCGACGCAGGGTACGGTTTCGATGGCGCGAAAAAGATTGGATTTTTCGGTGGAGTCCTTGATGTAGGTCTCGAGGAGAAGACTATACATCTCGGAGTGAATGTTTTCGATGGCGATCTGGAAGCCATAGAAAGCGCGCGCCTCCGGAAGTTGAACCTCTCGCATGAAGCGTCCGGCGAGGTTCTCCAGCACGATACCATCAGAAGCGGCGAAGAAGGCCAGGACGTAGGTGATAAAGTGGCGCTCGTCAGAGGTGAGGGTGTGATCCCATTGCCGAACGTCTTGTGAGAGATCGACCTCTTCCGCAGTCCAGAAAGAGGCCTCTGCTTTCTTGTACATCTCCCAAATCTGAGGGTAGCGGATCGGGAACATACAGAAGCGATCGGGGTTCGGAGCTAGGAGGGGTTCTTCTTTCTCTAAGATTCCGGAAGGAGTAGGTAACAGCGGCATGTCTGGAGGTCGAAGATGTTGACAATGGAAAGGGTAGGGTTGGGAAACTTTTTAGAGCTCTCGTGAATGGATGAATGGCTTGCAGGAGAAGAAGATGGAAATCGGAGCACCGCCTGCGGCTGCAGCTTTAATGGAGCGTTGTGGCGAAATGTGTTGCGAGGAGCCGGCGACAGAGATAGCATTGTGAACGAGAATCGCTGATGGGCTGATTTAAGGAAGCAGGGATGGCTACAGGAGAGTTGGGCGGTCATTGGAATTTGAAATAGGCCGAAATGAAAAGATTTGGAGTCCCGCGAACTTGGTTACCATTTGAAGCAGAATCGTTAATAATAACTGGCGGGAGGTTTGCCCGGGAAGAGGTGAGTAATGTTACAATGTATGAACAAAATTATTTTTTATTTATTTGCATTTAAAAATTAAATGTAATTAATTGATTATAAAAGTAGAGAAATAGGTTTAAAAATTATGGAAGGTAATATTGATTATAAAAGTAGAGAAATAGGTTTAAAAATTATGGAAGGTAATTAAATTAACGGAATAAGGGTGCTTGTATTTAGTCTAAAAATTTAAATACTGTTTTAGATAAGTTTGTGAAACGCGCGAATCAAACGGTACGGCCGCACTTATAAGTTGTCCTAAAAGGGCCTTAAGCCTTAAAATGTTTTTGAAGTGAAAGTTAAGCTCATTAGTTTTTTTTTTTTGTAGATAAACAAAAAAATTGCAAAAAATTAATTTGATTTTTTTCTAATTTCTTTATAATTGAGAAAACTATTATTTTTAATAACTTTTAAGGTTTTAATAAAGCATAGGCTTCATGTTGATTTTTATAATGAATTATTTTAATGTAGTTATTATTCTTCAAAGTATATTCTAACTTCAAGCGATCAAATGAGCAACATGATTTATAAAGTGGTAATTAGATATGATTTCATTTTTTGGTTTGATATGTGTTGAACTCCAACTTGATATTTGGGTTTTTTCCTTTTGGACAGAAAAGATTACAAAAAAAAAAGAAATTTTTATTATATTTAATTCTCTTATTTGTAGTGGTTGAACAAGAAAAAATTGGGCTGATTCTGCCAAAATTTTGAGGTGTTGGTCTCTTGGATCTTAGTCGACCCTGACTTCCACAATTTACACTTTCGAGGAGAATTGGCCAAGTTAGTTCGTGTGAAAACAAATCGCTCGGCTGACTCCCAGTGTCTGACCTTGACTGTTAATTCACCTACTTATTCCTTAACTTTCACCCTCGACAAGTTGTCCATTTTTCACCTGACTCCGTTCACTCGTTCATGGTCACTTGGCTTAGGTCACTCAGCTTTATGCGCTTCATTTTTCAAACATGTGGTCATATCTGACGCATCAATTTACATTTTTCGACCATTCGGAATAGCTCTCTCCAATCAATATGTTATGGACCTTTTGATTCTCGATGATCTGAACTGTCTAGACGATCACTTTTTTGGTAATACAATATGATAGAAGTCAATGTATTTATTAACCTACACAAATATTAAAAATATGAGATTTTTTTTTTTAACAAATAAAATGGATAAAGCTGAACAAAAATCAAATATGGGAAATAAAAATGCAGTTAGAGGACTTTACACCATGACATATGCTTACGACAAAACTATAAAAACTCTTTAGAAAAAAAATACTGAAAAAGGTTTGAAGGTTATTGTGTGTTATTCATAATAAACCATGTAATTCAAACATCTAGACGAGTTTTGCATTTCAAGATTTCTAGAAGGCAAGTATCATTAATAAATAAATAAATATAAATATTGACGTAATTTAACTCATATATAATGTCTTGTATGAATGTATAAATTATCATGTTTCATTGATTTATAAAGTTATGGGCAAAGAGCATTTGAACATTTCCCACTCACGTGTGAAGCTGTAATGGTCTAAAGGTCCGTTTGGGGCAGCTTATAAGTGCGGGCGGAGTTTTCAAAACGCCGCCGTATCATTTGTTTCGCACGTTTCGTCAGCTTATCCGAAATTGCGTTTGGATTTTTACACTGGGCCGCATTGGGCCGCGTTTCAGGATAAGCAGCTTATCCGAAATTGCGTTTGGATTTTTACACTATACCATTCAATTCCAATATATTTACATATCTAACACAAACTTCAATTTGTAGATACATACGACTTCATCTATGCATGAAAATATGTGTTCCACCTTTTAAAAAATTAAAATGATAGTATTTTTGATCTGATATGAAAGTCTTGGATGACGTAAGTGTAAAAAAAGCAAAATTCAGATGTTAAATATGTAAATACATGAGAATTAGAAGGCATGTATGTAAATATAATAGGGAACAATGTTATCTGAGGTATTAAGAAGATTGGAATGAAGAAATGACATGAAAGAGGAAATGGATGCTGAAGAAAAATAACACATAAGAGTTGTTAATAAGCTCAATGTAAAATATAATAGAACACAAATGATATATTTTTGTCTAGGAAATTTACATAACTAGCACACAATTTTTAAGTATTTACATATCTCACACTTCAACTATAATATTTACGCACATGGCACGTTGGTATTTTAAACCTAAGCAAGAAAATATGTATTTACCTTTTAAAAAGTGATAATAGTGCTATTTTGGATGTGATTTAAGGAAGCTATGCACGAAAAGGCGTATTTAACTTGTTTAAAATGTGATAATAGTGCTATTTTGGATGTGATTTAAGGAAGCTATGCACGAAAAGGCGTATTTAACTTGTTTAAAATGTGATAATAGTGCTATTTTGGATGTGATTTAAGGAACCTATGCATGAAAAGAGATGTATTTAACTTTTAAAAAAATGATAATAATGCTATTATTGATGTGATATTTAAAGATTTTAGCATTGTGTGTGTAAATATGAAAGTTTGGGTGTGAGATGTGTATGTACATAAGAATTGTATGCTGTTTATGTAAATTGATATTTACATTTATAACACCTTGGTGTCGTAAACTTGTGAAAGAAAATGTATATTTCACTTTCAAAAAGGTAATTATGGTGATATTTTTTTATTTAATGTCAATATTATGCATGTAAATATGAATGTTTTAGGACTTAGATATGTAAATACATAAGAAGTGTGTGTTGTGTATGTAAATGCCCCATTATATTTTGCAAAATTTGACAAATAAATGATGAAAAATATAAATTCATTCGGTGAATGAAATATGAATTAATAAATCTCTTTTTAATAAAGTGAAATTTGTCCCTCCATGTCCTATGGCATACAATCTACCCATAACCACCTCAACAAACCACAACCAATGGATTCAATTCACTAGCTAACACATTCTAGAATATATAACTATATGACTAGCATTTAATTGGAAATTTTCTTATAAACATTTCCCAAAATAATTATTTATATATCTTACATGCATATAAACCTTAATATTATTTACTCATACAAACTTTAGTAATGAAATAATGTACTCATTTGATATGATAATTTAAAAAACATAACGGTAAGAAAAACTAAAAAAAA